CGCCCTGCCCATGTTTCGTACTCGTACACCGCCGCGCTCCAAACATACACCTTTACAATATTTTTCGAATTTCTAAATTAACCGTTCGCGAGCATAGAAGTGACTTCTTTACTACTTCTTCCATCCTGACTTCCCAGATACCTAAAATCAGTCACTTCTTCTAATTTTTCGTCTCCTATCTTTATATTCGCTCTTTCCCTACTTTTTCTTCCCTTGCATGCCAGTATTTTAGTTTTACTTTTATTTATTTTCATACAGTACTGATCTGTCAGTACCGCTTCCATTTTATTTAAAGCTATCTCTAACTCCTCCTTACTAGATGCTAATACTGCTATATCATCTGCAAATCTAAGCATACTAATCTTTTACCCTTGCATATCTTTCCCTACAGTTGTACTGTCTTTAATGATGTTGATCGCGTCTTCGATGTATAGATTAAAAAGTAGGGACGACAGTGTGGATCCCTGTCTGACTCCCTTCCTAATATTTACTTCTCTACGTTGCAGCCCCAGCTCTATAACTGCCCGTTGCTCTTTATACAAGCTAAGTATCACTCTTCTATCTTTGTAACACGTCCCTACATTTTTAGGTATATTTAACATCTTGTCCCATTTAACATTGTCAAAAGCTTTTTCTAAATCTACAAAAACATCTCTAAATAATAGTTTATAATTTTTCGAGATGGAAAAGCAGTTATTAGGCATTTGAAACAAGATTAATTATGTGCAATTACAAATTCCCTATCAATGTTAAACTGTTTTGAAAAATGCAAACATGGAATTTGTATTTTTAAGAACTGTCCCAGTACGAAAATTCATGCTTTAAATAGAACTTTTTTTACGTAGAAAACAATAATTTTCAATGATTTAGTAACAAAATAGAGTTTTATTTGGAAAACTGATAACTGCCCACATGCTTGATAGATACTCGATTGGAAAAATCCATTTAGTTGTTATTAGGGTTTCTGAAGCCGTATAGAAAAAGAAAGGGCTAATAAGAAGAGGGCTTTTGTATACACAGCTGCTTGATGTCTAGTAAACAAAAGCCTGCCTTTTATTAAATTTCTCATCTTCATAAAATAACGTTTTTTATTTACCTAATACAAACAAAACGCAAGCCCCAGTAACAATGTGAATAATGTAGTCCACAGTCTATGATGTTATAACATCATAATTAATAAATATTTGACTAGTTTTGCACTAGACACGTTAAAAAGAAATAAACGGTTTGACTAACGAATATTACCTAGTAATACATAATTCACACGGTTAATGAATTACAAATTTAATCCTGATGGGACCAGAAGTTTGAAATCACATTTCTCAATTTTCGTTACAATGTAACTCAACCTCTACACATTTGAGTCCGGAAGGACTCCCCGATAATTAGAGTTGAACCCATTAAACAGCATTTGTCTCTAACAGCTGCAGTTAACACATTTTCGAAACCGTTTAACATTTTAGTATTCACCTACTCCTTCCACATATATGTACGTTCATTCAATAAAGACAAATAAGAACGGAATATAAGGATACTATGAAAAAGTAAAGAAATTCACACGAATATTTTCAGCCATCTTTTCGTATAAATAATATTGTCCAATAAATGAAATTTAATACCTCTAAGGCTATATTCAAAAGATTTTCAGATGTTAGCTTAGGACCGCTTTTAGAGAAGCAGATGATATTTTCCAATAGAAGTGGTTAAAAAAATTTTAATGCCTATATTCGGTTACCCTATCTGTATAACCCTTAAAACTCTTCACACTACTCGTTTTATACAGGTATTAAGACAAACTGTTCACAAAACATGAAAATTACACATTTTTTCGTCAGCATTTTCTGTTTAATGGCATCTAACAAAAACCAAGAAATCATTTAAATAAAGCAATACAACCCTTATCTTCATCATAAGGTCGTCAGTCCTAAGACTGGTTGGACACGTACCTCCACTCTTTCCTATCCTAAGCTAATCTTCGCATTTCCCTTAAACCAGAACATCCCACAACCTTAACTATTTGCGAACAGTAATCTAATTTAAGCCTACCTCTACCCCTCATAACTCCCGTTTCTGCCTCTAATATGTCTCTAACTAGACCTTCATTCCTGAGAAGGTGTCCTACCAACCTATCTCGCTTATTTTTTATTGAATTCCATAGAGTTCTCTGTTCTCCTATTCTTTCTAATACCTCTTCATTTCTAACCTTCTTTATCCACGGTATCCTTATCATCCGCCGGCAACACCACATTTAGAACGCTTCTAACATTTTATTTTACGCCGCGCCCACCGTCCATGTTTCGCACTCGTACAGCACCGCGCTCCAAACATACACCTTTAACAATCTTTTTCAAATTTCTAAATTAATCGTTCACTTCTTCTAATCTTTTGTCTACCATCATTGCATGAGCTCTTTCCCTACTTTTTCTTCCCTTGCATACTAGTATTTTTGTTTTACTTTTACTTTTTTTCATACAATACTATTTCGTCTACCGATCCTGTATGTATTATTCTAAAGTCTCCAGCTTCTGGCTAACAGACTTCACCCTAACAATTCTAAGAAGCATTAAATTACGTATGATGCTTTTAAAATGAGATGTTATAGGCGGATGACATCGTAGATAGAAAAGTTAGAAGGGAGAATGTTTTAGAAAATAAGATTTTCCATTCTCCGCATTTTTTTTTTTAAATTTTATCACTTATACAGATATCTTCTTTTTGTGATAAATAGCTCTGTAAATCAATACATGAAATTTTCATTAATCAAACCCTCGGCTTTCTGGATTACGCTAACTTATGTGAACAAAACAAACACACACACATCTACACATAATATGTATTAGGATGGAAGTTGTCAAGTTAAGTTAATGTTAGCATTGACGGGTGGGTGTTCTCGTAATACTTGGGCTTACCACCTTTAGTTATTAAAGTCATCCCCCAAATACATTAATAAATTATTATCATGTACCTAAAATTTATTATCTAACGTCGGAAACTTTCTCCAATCGATAATAAATAAATAAACAAAATCAACTGTCATGTGAAAAAAGCTTGGGTCTTTTAAGTAATTTCACCCATAAATATATGTAATGTAATTTTTAAACATAATATTTCGACTCTATTATTTACGGTTATCGTTCAGCTGACATTAAACGAATAAATTATCTGAAGTTTAATATAATGAAACTTTCTGTGGCAAAAGTTTTCAAACAGTTTTGTTCCCGCAAAGCGTTTCAGTTTGTATATATATGTATAATTCGGCATTATAATAAAATCGGTCTAACTGAAGGGGAGGAAATAAAGCTGAATTTAGACCATTTTATTAATGGATAAAAGCCTGTTTGAAACAACAAGATTAAAAGTAACGACAAAAGAAATTTCCACAAGAAATAATAAGCAATACGTAATTTATTGTATCATTTTACTAAAATAGCGAATGTTTCAAAACTTTTAATACTACCGTATTGAATAGAAGTAACCCTTAAACAGAATTTTCATTCTTTTTTGGAAAGCAATAACCAGAAAAATCAGCATTAGCAGATGAATTTCTTTTGAATCTCTAATGTTTTTACCTAAATATCCTTATATCTCCCCGCAAATCAACATATCAATCGTGTATATTATTAAATTACAAACTTGGTTAGATAATGATTTAGGAGCCCAGAAATGGGATTGAGTACTGCAAAATGAACTCCTGGAACCGATAACGACAATATTAGCACTATCTCCAGAAGAACTATTGAACACAATATTTTGCAAGTGCAAGAATGGTTGTGGTTCACGCTGCGGATACAGGAAATCAAGGTTGCAATATTCTTTAGCTTGTAGTCAGTGCAATGGACAAGCGTGCTTCAATGCTTCATTTTATCAAAGCGATCTCGACGAAGAAAGAGCATTTGACCCCGAAATCCTTGACGGTTTAGAGACAAATATCCTTGAAAACGAAGATGACGATGGCAATGAATTAGAAATTTTCCAGGGACCGGAAGACAATGATAAAGAAAAAGAGGAAAAGTGAGATTTATGTCCTAATTATTGAAGTTTGTGTAAATCCTCATCACATTTGATCTTCAACTGTAGTCAATGTATGATACGTGATATCTTAAAGACGGTTATTAAAAAAATATTTGGAACACAAAATTTGTAGAAAATAGTATGCTTTACAATTTTTAAAATAGATTACACTTGCATTGAAACCACAGGAAGCGAGATATTACCAAAGAATTGATTTTAGTGACTTTAATCTTGAATATTTTAAGACTTTTAACACAACATATAGAATACCAAAAAAAAAAAGATTTATACAAGTTTACAGCTTATTATCTTTCATTCCGAGGTGAAACCCCTAACATGACTAGATTAATACCGAAATTTCTGGGATGTGACATACATTTGAAATACGTACTATACTATGTACGAAGGTTTGAAATTGTTGGAAGTAACAAGTGTTCTATATTTACTTCAGCCAGGCGGCTTTAACGTAACACTTATTACATACTCTTACAAAATAGTCGAGGAGACTTCCGGACAAATGCATCTCGCACACACAAACACGGCGACTGCATGCTCCACCGCCGAAAGCACTATGTACAATACACAAAATTCATGCACTACAATACACACTTACCACTTTCTTCTTCAATCTTATCCATCGACGAAGAAACCTAACAAAATTATGGCCTTCTATTCCATTTATACGTTTTGCAAAATATAATTCAACAACAATATTTTTCATTTGCTTTTTTTGTTAAAGATAAAATAAATTTAAAAGAAAATAAGACGTAAGTAAACTTATTACTTTTTATGGTTTAGTACCAGAATGTTAAAAGAGAGAACCAACCCATATGATGTCGACTACAAAACTGTAGAAAAATTTTATTTTAAATTACTATTATTATTTAATTCAAATACAATAGTCCAAAATGTGGTAGTTGAAATTTAAAAATATTACGTGAAACGTATCTTCGAAACCCCTGAAATTCGAGTCAAACTAATAGAAAGAATTTAAAAGAAAATATTTAATGTTACAGAAATATACATAAACTTTGATAATACGTATGAATCTTGAATGTATATAAAAGAACAAAGCACTTCATAAAAAAAGAAAACAATTGTCGTAAGAAAGCGTAACTAACAGTACACGACTATAACTACGATATATAAAATATGTAAAATAAGGGATAGATCCCGTTCGCAACTCGGGTCTTACTCGACTCTTAAAAGAGGTCCTCTAGGTCCATCAATCGGCATCGTGTGCAACACCTCGTCCAAGAGCTGCAGTGCTCTGTGAAGATGCACCTCGATCCAACAGGGAGTTTCTTTAATCGACTGCCGGGGATAATCCGGTCCCCATCCCTTCACGAAACTCAAACGTAAGATGCACAGTCTCCTCAGATCGTCAACCCCAATGCCCGTGGCGGCTGATAAACTGATTGCAGGAGCGATACCACCGACGGAATGGGGCCCGGGGATATGACCGGCTACTGCGGCCGCCTGGGCGGCCGAAGCTGCCTGAGCCGTGGCCGCCTGAGTTGTCATTTGATGGTGGCATTGTCTCAAATCGAACACTTTGATGTAGGCAGAGGGATATATTTTGTGTACCGCATCGCCCGGAGCCCTTCCTGCCTCTCTGTCCAAATAATAACTTTGAACGAAAACGGAGTGATCACTGAGACAACGCAGCCACACGTCACCTTCGCCCCTGAGATCGAGTTGGACGCCCTTTCCAATATGCAATCGGGCCCTTTCGCTCTGCTCCGTGCGGTGCACGTTGCTCAGAGCGCCCAAACAAAATCGGTTACCTCCCGAGGGATCCACGTAACCGTCTATAGTGACATTGGGACAACTAGAAGGGACTTTGAAAGTCTCTCCAACTTGAGTATCCAGTTCGAAGTACGCCACCGAACACCAGTATTCTGGGGGTGGTTGGGTCGATAGAAGTCCACCCGTGACATTAACATCATTTCTTAACTGATTGCTATGAGTCCAGTAGGACGTGTGATGGTTTCGGTTATCGGGAGGTTGCATCGATTGCGTATATGTCAACGTGTTTGCCCCAGACCATGTTCCCTGAGTACCGGTGTAGGTCTGTGCAGGCGACTGCGGTCCAGTTACCTGACCGTTATTCGTGGATGTCGCGTTTGGATTATTCGCATTGTTATTTTGCAAATGGGGTGACAAGGGTGAGCCGCTACGGATTGACAAGTGCATTCTGGAAGGAAGCCAGTTAGTCTGAGAGCAAACTTCCGGAGGAGCGTTTTCCAATTTTGGTACCGAAGTGGACGGTGCGCCCAAAGCAGCTCTGTTAGTGCCGGTGTAAATGTTAGACTCCGCGGGAGGCGTCTGTTGCATGGGAGTCATGGGAGGGGGTTGCTGAAGAGCAACTAGGCTAAAATTTTGTTGCGGCGGGTGATGCTGTATCGTTTGCGACACGGAAACCCCCAAATCACCGTCGACTTCCATGCTGTTTCCTGGGACTGGAGGAGCTCCGGCAGAATATTCGTCTTTCACCAATCGAGACGGGCCTGATTGCAACGTGAGACCCGAAAGGTCAATCCCTGGCGACACAACGCGTTCATAATGATAAGGATTGACACAAACCGAATCGCATTTCAAATCGAACGCGAACTGGCAGCATTTGACGTGTTTCAATTCGTTCTTGTGTAAATCGGGCCATCTCCAGATACGTGCATAAATTACGTGGGGGAATCCCTTACGGCCGGCAACTTGTAGTCTGCCATCGAGAGTTCTTTGAATTGTGACACATTTACTCGGATGCGCGCCGTTAGTCGTGATTGCGGTTATCAACGAGTCGAGCTCGTCGCGTTTCTCTTTCAACTTTTTCACAAGCGATTCGATCGCCCTTTTCGCGAAACTCTCGCTCTCGCCCCCTTGGCGATGGCACATGAGACTGTGCACTATGCTGAGACAGGCGTCCGCCGACGTGGGAGCGTTCGTTGTTAGTGCTGACATTTCGTGGATGTCCTGGTGAGACGTAGCGGCTGATGGCGAGAACAAATAAGACTCATTTGAAAGTCCTACCATTGTTTTGAAACGGAATTGGAAAAAAATAAAAGTACTACGCGGCACACTCCAGTCCTCAGCATTGATTTGATCGTAATAATCTCCTCAACATTAGTAATACCACGACAAATAAAATAAAAAGATGTAACGGAAACTGTTCTAGAAAGTGCGCTGCTGTTTTACTACTTCATGACTGTTCAGATACAAAATAATGAATCACTTGTGATGATTCGACAAAGGTCCAGTTGTTTGTAACTTCTTCTTTGACAGCCCAGTAAAGTTGAACCTGTAAAGTTATTGCTTAGCACGAAAATACCCTACGTGTCTTGCAGAATTCAGTGATAATGTCTTTTTTATACAATAATAACGTCATTTTGTCTTAGATAAGAAAAATAAGTGAGCAACATCAACTAGTTGTAGATACTGTAATATTGGACGAGACAGCCGCACCAAATTACATCACATACGTCAGAACAATATACGTATATTAGCCATTACTGTAGCTTGTCCATTAAAAGATTAAAAGTGTCAGAGAGTAGAAGCGCAATAAATTCCCGAAAAATTAATAAATATCACTTCCGGAGTTTGCGATGCATTTCGCTAATTAACCTTATATAACCGACGGCTCCGTCCGGTCGTGGAGCAAAAAGTTTAATGAAGTTTAATTCGGTGGCGCTACACGTAAATACATGTACAATCCAACGCAACGCTAAAGCACTGTGTTGCTCGTCTCTAAAATCCGTGTTTGCCCTTAAATTTTCTTCCTTGTTAATGTAGCGTTAAGCACAGAGTGGAATGAAACTATCACAGACAGTTGGTCATACTTGTTTACGGCTTTTTCCGCAAATAAGGCCAGTGCCGTAATTATAAAGTTTTCTGGCTAATACTGAATTCCTGAAGATGTCTTCGTTAATGAGACGAAATGTGTTTAACGATAAGTATGTAAAATACTTACATCGAATTTATAAGTCGAACTTCTACATTCGAAAATATCCAATTCGAGATTCAATTGTGCGTTTTACATTACAAATTGACTATTTAACTCGAATTTCTATTAATTTTCGTACGTTGTTAAAGATAGTTTTAAATAGAATGGAACTGGTATTGACAAAAAAGTACTATATGAAAAAAAAAAACAAAAATACTGACATGTAAAAGAAGAAAAAGTAGGGAGAACCGATTTTAGGTATCTAGGAAGTCAGATAAGTCAGGACGGAAGGAATAGAAAGGATATAAAGCAGGTTCTATGCTCGCGAACGGTTAATTTAGAAATTCGAAAAAGATTATTGAAGCATGGTCATAAAGGCGAAGGATGAGGATACCGTCGAGAGAGAAGGTTAGAAATGAAGAGGTATTAGAAAGAACAGGAAAGCAGAGGACTCTCAGGCATGAAGATCTGGTCAGAGACATTAGAGGCAGAAATGGGAGTTAAGAGGGGTGGAGGTAGACCTAGATTAGATTATTGTTCGCAAATAGTTAAGGATGTGGGTTGTTCTAGTTTTAGGGAAATGCCAAGATTAACTCAGGATAGCAAAGAGTGGAGGTGCGTGTCCAAGAAGCAGTCTTAGGATTGATGACCTTATGATGATGAGGTTGTTAAGCCACAGATAGGAAATGCGAAAGAAATACGAACGAACGAAGTACTTACGTTGCCCGGTATCATAATTTGATATCGATAGAGTTATTAGAGATAGGATTAACAATATACGGTAAAACAGAAACTTTTCTTCTCAAATCTACTCTAACTTTATATTAGGTTCGAGTTATATTTATTGTGTGCGTCAACAATATTGCGTTTCGGCGAAGTTAATTTTAGTAACAATACTTAATTAAATTAAGTATTTAAAACGAGTTTAACTTTAATGAGTTTGATATCCGCCTTTGATCCAAATTGGCCAACAGCAAAAATAGCAATCACGGATTTTGATGATGCAAAAAAAAAGAACGTTAATTAGCGCTAATAACCTAGTGCTAATGAAAGACCATGTTGTTGATGTTGTTGCTTATTTTCATTGTTGCCTTAGTAAAACTGCATCGCAAAATATATGTATGTTTCTATAGAAACTGCGCCATTTCCTGAATTAAGGGAACACACAATTTCGAAACTCCCATACACAATTAGGAACAGCAAACATGTATCCCACTTCAACCTTCCGGACTACATCACTGCTATTAAAAACAGCAATAAAAATAATTAACTCATATATTTCCGTGACGCTATTTGCATAATTTCCAAATAAATTTATAATAACAATAAAATTTTTATCTCAGAAAGCATTCTTATTATACTAAAACAATTAATTCATTTCCCCTGACGGAGATTTCAAAGAATCTGTTCAACGTATCGAAGTTGTGAAGATAACTAATATTGTAAGTAGTATTTCTGGCATGCTCCAAGAATGTTATAGGAAAATCGCAGACATTAAAAGCTCACTGACTTATTACTGTAAGTATATTATAACAGTAACGTAATCAATGTTTACATTTCAGAATAATACATAAACGAGAAGTGTAATGCCCTTTGGAATTGATCTAAAATAACCGCGAGACATGTAAATGGTACAGATATTGTTGAATGAAGGTAAAGATATGAAAGGTGAGTTTTCAGTTACAGTTGAGGGTCGGCGCCCACTATAGCAATGAAGTCTGTCTTTTAAAACCGTATGTTGGGCAATCAAAGGGAAAATAGCATTTTAATTGTCAAGCAATTTAGGGTGTTTTGGAGATATTAAAAATAATTAAGACTGCCACAGAAAAAAATAAATTCAGTATTGATATTAAACCGACAATCTACCTTTCGTTTTTGGTTAGGAAGCTTTTTCAAGGTAGGTAGACCCTGTTTAACATTTGTTGATGTAAAATTCTCAGAAACGAGACAGGTCAATTCTCGAATAAAAGCAGTGGCGTACATTTAAATCTTCGTAGTACTTGAAAGTTCTCTGGGTACTCCACGAAACATACCTTTTTAATTATTTGAACAGGTAAATAAATAAAACTCACATGTGTATTAGAAAATATTCTGTCAATTGTTTGGATTCATGTATCCAGAACCCCTGTAGTGCTTTTTAATAATCGTTAAGAACAACATTGTTCTTACTCTTATTTTTTATTGTTCACCTATTACATACCGTTTACAATAATTACATTTCGGTTTGTGTTAATCAAAAATTAATGTATGTTTCATCCACTGTCCAGCGAACTTTCAATCAGTGCGAAGATTTAAGTTTACGCCACTGTATGTATACAAATTCCTGGACAAACCCTTGTGTTTCGAGAATTGACCTGTCTCGATTCTGAGAATTTTGAACATGCTCTACCTAACTCAAGGCGAAAAATGTCAGTGTTGATTTTATATCAATAAAATTATTTATAACCCTCTTAAAGGAAAGAAATTAAATCTATCTTAATTGATTTTGTAAGATTACTCAAACGAATTCAATACCATTCAGTTTTGAATATTTCATTAAAAACAAATTAGTAAAAGTAAATTAAACTTCATGGGATCTGTGGAATGACTTACTAAGAAATTCTGGTAAAGGTGAATCATTACAAATGTGTTTGTAATAACCGTATGTGATGATTTTATTATTTTAGCATGTTTAGATTGTAGTGTCTACACACTTACTTTTTCATACGACTTTATCATATCATCTTCTTATCTATAACATCATTTTCATTCATACAAGTATGTCATTTACTTAAATCACTTTTTCCCTTTTACGAGAATGACAGAGCACGAAACAAAATTCTGTGCAACTAACGAATAATTAATTATAAAACAAAAACCTTAATGACATACTACATTCTACTCGTGAAAAGTGAATCATGGTTCTAGCTTGACCGTAACCTTTCTTTAACCAAATTATATCATTAGACGACATTGTTCTACTACAAGAGGTCAAGATATTCGATACTGCAAAGAAGAATCAACTTTTTAACCTTTACCAAGCTCTTGTAACTGCGCTAGAAAAAAAAATAATACAAGAAAAGCCTCAGCTAGGACATTAATGCCCGGAAGAATGAAGCAATCTAACAATAATAAAAAGACCGGGATTGAAATGTAGAAGATTAAAGCATATGAAACATCTTAAACAACTCCAGTTTTTCTTGATCAAAAACACACATTAATAAAACAACAGCATGTATACGAAATTGTGCTTTCTATTTTTAACTGTCCACTGTTCTAGTTACGATAGTGTCTAAAAGAAAATTAAATAATTTACTTGGCTTTAGGCTGAAAAGATATTTCAGTAGAAGAAAATCTTCTGTTATTATTTATAATACCCAAATCATATTTATTTAACAAAAATTAGAACAAGGACGAATGTAGAAGTTTAAAAATAAAAATAGAGCCAACCGAAAATTCCTCTTACAATTAAACAAATTAAATAATGAATAACATTACAAGACCAAAATTGATTTCTGTCTTGGTTCTTGGTCGAACATATTTAATATTAAGAAAGTAAAACACTCGGTATTATTGTCCCACAAATTTTATTTAAAACTGACAATTGCTTCGGCTGTAGTTCTCAGGCTTTCACGGCCGGCGTATATTGATGCGGTGTGGCTTTTTGGCCGTGGTCCGTGGAATTTTTACTTTTCCAAACGTTTCGCGCAACTGACAGAGCACCTGCCCAATCACCATTGAAGATGCCGCCAGCAAAGAACGGCGAAACGTTTGGAAACGTAAAATTCTTCGGACCACGGCCAAAAAGCCAGCATCAAATGTTTCGGCTGTTATGCCATTATCAAGTGAATCCACTTTGATAACAACAACAATTGTCAGTTTTAAAAGAAGATGGTAGGACAAAAATACTAAGTGTTTTATTTGCTTAATATTACAAAACCAATAAATATATTATAATACGCCACCCCAATACGGACACCTATATCACCTTGGAGTTTTTGATCAAACCACGAAGATCTCGTATAGTTTTTTTTATGGCATAAGGCCGTTTCCAAATTAGGTGCCGCAATCGACATTAAACAGTTCGCACATATTGCATATTTTATGCTACCTTTCATGTTTCGTTGTCTAATGATTTTAGTGTCACGTTTGCAACGATTAATGAACATTAAATGCTTCCGTTGCATACGTTGTCGGTTGTCGATAAGAGTTAATAAAAAATATATATAAAAATTATACCGTAAAACAACTACCTGCAAACACAAAACGGTTTTACTATAAAACGAGAATATTAATTTATCTTCTAAGGTATCATTTACCTGCCTACCTATCGTAGGAAGAATTGTTAAGAAGTACTAAATACTTCCTTGGTTTTATGTTCGTAGCTGAATTACCTGTGTAGGTATATCTTTATCTACACCGTAATTCTTCACCAAGGAACAGGTAAGCAATTTCAAAAATTATAAACACTTAACCAGCTATTAAAAGCCAATTTACGATAACTACAACACAAATGATTTTGTTGTTAAAATTATTAAACCAGGTACCCTCCTCAAATAATTTATTTTAAAAATACCTTGCATATATTATTTTTCGTCAAAAATATATTGTTTTCTACTTCCGCAAACCTACAACTATTTGACCCTCTCCTAAACAAATGAATAAAACGATAAAATGGTAACGACCTACACAGGTAGATGACCGAGGTTATTATTATACAGTAAAATAGGTAGCTACTACTACCGATAAAATAATCTTAATGACAAAACCATAATAAATTAAAAGGTTGAATAAGAAAAACAAGCCTAAAGAAATACCCCGTAGAAAAGATTAATAGGCACTATTAATTAATATTGTACTGCTAACGCTACTTGTTTCAGCGTAATAAATCGGGTATTTCAAACAAAAACAAATTTAATCACCTTGTACAATTCTACAGCACGTTTACCCATACTGGATTCTTTTTTTTAAATAGGTACCAACATAATCAGATTAAAACAAGAACCTTATTAAAGCAGACTAAATCATACATTAGATATTTAAATTATTAAGTCAACTTTTTAATTAAATTAAATTGATAAAAATAGACAACAGCAACATACGTAAGTATTAAGTGTAAATAAAATAATACGCAAACGATATATTTTATCGAATTAAATAATGATAATATTAGTCACATTAGAACCATTTTATCTTTAGTTATAAAATATTTTATTTCTAAATTTCATTGCTGAAATAATGACGCTAAAAATGTTCCTTCGAATGGGAGTCCTTTACAAATTTATAGTTAAAAAATGCGGCTGTAATATAAATTACATTTATATTGTCAGTTTTATTACGGTATGGTGGTACCAGAACACAGGTACTTTTTGGAAGGAATGCAACAATAACTAATCGTAAGAACGTGTGTAGAAAATTGTGGAGCATTCTGGAGATGAATCACGAAAAAGAAAAGAAATAAGATAGACACAGGTATTATAAAGTAAACTTTTTAAGCGTATTTTACACACTTCTGTGATAAATGGTCCAACGTATTCCTTTTAAACGGAATATCAGCAACTGACTAATAAATATTTACGAAAAAATGATATACCCAGCAATTAAAGAAAGGCATTTTAACGAAAACTTTACGAGGCGCATTCGTTGTGGTTCGCTCAACCGCAAGCAGAGATAACAACGTTAATAATTCCTGAGGTGTGTACTACCTATAAAACGACTGAATACTCACTCACCTGTTAGCACTGCAATAGCAATAACAGCAACCTTGACTACATCCATGTTGACGATTAAAAATACACAAAAAGGGCCGCAACTTCAACGGAAGGAACTTTTGTTGCGGCCACTTTCATCAAACTTGGAATTTTACCTCTGAAAAAAACTACTAGTTTATCGCAAATTGTTCCGTGTTCGGATAATAGACTGGGCACACAACTCACACTGGCAGCCGCTACTTTAACATCGACATCGACGCCACGACTGAGTTTCCGAAGTTTCGAAACTAAACGACGCCGCAGGTCGCGCGAGTTCGTACGCAATCGGACTATTAAGGCAGTTGTTTAAGTACCCAAACAAGAACCTCCATAATAAACCGAAAACCGATTTCGAAATACAACAAACCCATGGAATGACTGACTACGCCGACTACTCTCTCACACGGCTCACACTGACTTGCTTTCGTGGATAAGATGGCAAGATATTATAAATTGCTTCCATAAACAAGGGTGAATTAATGGTTCCATTTCTCTTAACAACGCCAAATGGAAGAAGAAACTCAAGACCGGGGTTATCGATATGTGCACCACCAGGATGTAATAAAATAAAGCAACCCCCCTTCCTCGCACTCTATTCCCACTAACCCTTATGGCATATCGAAATACCACCAAAAAGAAAAGTTTTCCCCTATGCTGATGCCGAATAACCGCATAATAAAAGTTTAGGGAATCTAAACTGACATTTTACAAGTTACAAAATAATATCGAAACACATTCTATATCATCTTCCTATTTCACAAACTTTTGGGTTACTAATGCTAATGGGCAGGCAGTCTCTCCGGACTTCGCCGGAAGATAGGGCGGAAGGCCCTCTTGAGCTCTCTTTTATGAATTGTTAGAATGGGTGGATGGTGGTAGTGGTTGAGAAGGCAGAAGAGAATGGAACATTTTTTACCTGTGGAATATTAACTACTACCCCAGCATTTGCTTAAGCGATTCAAGGAAGCCATAAAACCAAGTAGACACACCCGGAATCGAACCTGTGTCCTCCCGAATACTACGCGACGGTCTAAACCTCTAGGCCATGCCATACAACCACTAGAAACTATACGTTTCGGTAATAAGTTTTTTGTAAATTTAACAACACTTCAAATATTCGCCAATATATTTAAAACTTCTTTAAGATTTTGGCTACAAAAAAACAGTAATTACACATATTATTTTTTAAGCAAACATACTAAGAGGGTATGAATTTTAACAGAGATTGACCCAATGCATACTGTAAAAATCTTGCAAATTTACCTTCAACGATACATATTTTAATCTCGCAAATTATAATTAAATAGATACCATATATGGTAAGCTTTTCTAATGCAATTTGCTCTTTTACAATACATCTTCAAAACAAGGTATTTCCATAAGTAAAGAAGCTCTCGAAAGATCAAGAGAAAAATTTATTAATGCTACGTATTTCCAGTGTAACATTTTAACGCAATTATTGTATTGATCTTTTTTAAAGACATTATCACTGTAATCTGCTGGAAAAATGATTCACCTACCGTTAAAAGGCTTTCAGCATTTTCCAACTTGTTGAATCTTCTAATATCTGGGCTTCCTGTAAAGAACTTTATTATTTTTTTACAGAAAAAAAAATTTAATTGAACACTACCACTATTAATACGTTTATTTAGGATAGAGAAAAGCAACTGTAGTTTGCTATATAATATTAAGTCAATTTTTATCTATACTTGTATTATACTTAAAAATAAAAAAATTATATTGTTAGAATAAATCTGGATTTCAATTATTATTGGATGGTTATACGTACTATCGATTGTTTGGATGCAAATTTCATTATCAGCGTGTAGCTAATTACATTTTTCTGATAGTAATATAAAACTTTTCCATTGAAATAACATTAACGTTTCAAATTCCCGTCAATTCTTTTCATGACGCTGACATCGAGAACAATTTCGAAAATCCACCGTTCGAGTTTATTTCGCTCGAAAGTGCGACATAAATTAATTCCTAACCGTCAAAGTTCTGAATGCTTAACGGAAAACCATTATTGCTGTTTCGCTTTCCCTTCAAAAATATGTACCCTATTTTCAGCGAAAAATACGAAAATGAAACATCGATATTCCTAATTTTAATTCAAACATTATAAAAACATGCAATATGGATTGTTATTGATATTATTTATTTGATCGTATTATAACTTTATGATAATAGTTCACCTTGTGTTTATTTTTCTATTCCTCTTCTAAGTTTCAAGCAAATTCAGAATTTTCAAGCCCGACATATTTTTAGGATCATTTAACAGGATGTCTAGCATATTTTTGCCTGATTTTCCCGGTAATTCCAGGGAATCGATTATTAATTTTTTTTTTGTTCAACTATTACAGTCGATAAAAAATTTTCTTTTTGGTAATGTAGCTAAATTATACCAACTCGAACTCCCTAAATGCAACCAATTACATTCGAGTTAGAGAAAATTTCAAGTTATTAAGAAAAATTTCTGGTTTATCGTCAAACTAAAATTTTTGTTTTGAAGACATCACTTTTAAGGATTTTAAAAATCGCAGAAACTGAAATCAGTCAGTGATTAAACTGAATTGTTTCATTTTCTCTTACAACCGTAGTAGATTGAAGCGTATCGCCTGCTCCCCGTCCACTTTGACGCATTATATTAACTTGGTAAACAAATAAATTTTAATAGCGACGTAGGGGGAAAAAGACGCGAAACGCCCGGGTACGTGTCTCTTGATTAAGCGGCGGTTTTGATGGCTCCGGGGGGCGTGCGGTTTCAAAAACAACCGACTACAATGAACATCACGGGGGCTAATTCGACGATCCGGTCTGCCAATTTGAACATTTTAGGTCGTAGGATCGTTATTAACGTCACCGATGCAAAAGGGATGAAATCGACATCGACGACACAGGACATTTTCACCAAATAACAAGTTTCTCTTATTCGTGAAGAAAAATTATAATTCAACAGTCGTTTAATTAACCCCTCTTTTATGTGAAATGTATTTGTCAACCAAAGTAATCTAATCTACTCTAGATCTACCACCACTCCTCTTAATTCCAATTTCTGCTTCTAACTGTCTGTCACTAACTAGCGCTTCATGATTGAAAAGGTGCCCTACCGACCTATCTCGCCTATTTATTATCGACTTCCACAGGGTACTCTATTCTCCTACTTCCTTAGTTGTAACCTTCTCTATCCACGGTATCCTCATCATTCGCCTGTAACACTACATTTCGAACGCTTTTAACCTTTTCTTTTCCAGCCCTGCTCCAGACATACTTTTTAACAGTCTTAATTAACCATATGTGAGCACAGAAGTGACTGACTGACCAACCCTGCGCTATCCTCTGTTTTATATCATTATTGCTCCTTCTATCTTGAGTTATCTGACTTCTTAGATACAGAAAATCAACCATTTCTTACAATTTTTCGTCCCCTACCTTTATATTCAATCCTTCCCTATTATTTTTCCCTTGCATAGCAGTGTTCTTTCCACCTATTATTACCCGTAAAACTAAAATGCCCCCCGCGTTCCTACATTTCTTCTAAATCCAAATAGGTCTTCCCCTAATAGTTCTTCTGACCATTTTTCAACCCTTCTGTGTACGATTCTTTAAGATTTTTGATTTTTTTTGAAATTTAGTAAATAGAAATAAATATCGCATTCACCAAATCTTACCTTTACATGCTGTTCCATCTTATTCGACAAAAGACAGTCAAGATGAAAGATTCATATAGAAAAATAGCACGATAAAAGTCCGCTACAATGCACATACCACCCTATCATGACGTGGAAAAGGAATCAAAGAACTGCATATTTTGCAGAGAGACCGAAAACCTTTGAAGCATCTTCCAAAGACTCGTTTTGCTTTTTAGTTTTATATCAAAAAATGCATAGGTAAGAAGGAGCTGATACCAATTTTACCTACATATGAATACATGCATACTACTTTTATTTACCATGTTCTCTCATGTATGTATAATAGAAAATTACAGGATTTTACAGTTTCCAATTTAAAATAACTAAAAATCAATTGGTAGGTAGATTATGGTTAATGAAAATCCGGTAAATGACATCGAGATTGAGTTAGTTTTTTAATTATTAATCTGTTTCCTTATGTTAAAGCTGCGAATTATTCAGTAAGAGAAACTGTTGGAAACTAATAATTTCATTAAACTTTTAGAATACGAGCCTCGATATAATAATAAAAAAAAATAGCCAATTCGAAAGAGTTCAAATTTTATGACAATAGATTCAATTTACATCGATTTTATTTATCTCTGACGTCCCAATGGTACGTAGATAAGGTTACATATTGGTAGCACTCATGCATTGCACAACAAAAACCAAATGACAAACAGCTCCCCAGTGTTTTTTGTTAATACAAAATAAGAGAAATATGGGATAAATTGACAGCATAAACGATAAAAGTGTTGTCATTTTAACATTATTAAACGCATACTGATGCATAGACCACGATCATCCAGCATTTATATTGTAAAAAATCAGCCAACTTTTAATAATTTCCCAATTAAGTAATTTAATCAATATAATAGTCATACGCACATAAAAAATACACAATTATTAGATGACGATAAAAAAGGTACTGCTCACTCACTATTTTATCTTTATGAAAGGGCATTATTTAAGAGATCAAATAGAAATTTAGAAAAATCGAAACTTTCAAGAACTTCGAGGATGAGTTAATCAAAGATTAATCTCCGAGCACTAATGAATTTCTTAGAACTTTTTCAGTTAAACATTATTTATTGAAGCTGAAAACTTTGTTGAAGTGATGAAAATATTTCAGAAGTAAAAGAATGTTAAGGAAGTTTACCTTTCATTCGTCATTTTCGATGTGTAGTAATCTGTCACAATACGGAACAACCGTAGTTACTTCGCATGCCCCATCATTATTATATTATGTTCAATTTCGGAAAAATTTCCCCATTTTACAAGAAGTGACTATCACATTTTTTTATATTCTCCTAAATTTAATCAAGTCAACCTTCCCAATGATAAGAGGCAGAAACAAAAAGCAAAAGTAATAAAAGTTATTTAATAATTTCACGAAAACGCAAGATTCAACCCACTCCATAATAATTAATTGCGAAAGTCCTACCAATTTTACGGAAAACATGAAATTACACCATCCTAAATCGAGGAACCGATTCTAGATATTCTTCGACTAATAAAGAGGTTCACCAGTAAGTAATAAAGGCTACATTTTCTTTTGGTTAAAGTAAATCTCCGTAGGTATTTTAATTTAGACTCATCCAGGAAAACTTGGAAAATTAGGAAAATTTTTTTGTTTTTCACGACCATGATCACACGGGCCAGTAACATATGTCAACAATTTCTTAATTAAAAATTTAGGGATGAGATACAGAGATAGACGAGTAAGCTTAAGCAGCAACGTAGAGAAGTAAATTTTAGGAAGGGAATCAAACAAGGATTCCCACTGTCACCGCTACTTCTTCATTTATACATCGAAGACGTGATAAAAATCATTAAAAACAGGACAACTTTAGGGATAGATATACAGGGGTAAACGATTATTCTTAGATTTACTGATAATATGGCAGTATCAGGATCTAGCAATGAGTTACAGAGAGCCTTAAATAAAATGGAGCAGTGTATTGTATGAAAGAGTGAATATAAAGATAGGAGACGAATAATTAGAAGTGGCTGATTTTCGGTATCGAGGATGTCAGATAACCCAAAAGGAGCAACAGAGATATAAAACAGGATAACGCAGGGTGGAATCGCCTTTAACAAACATGCTTACGAACGGTTATTGTAGAAATTCTAAAAAGACTTACAGTTGAATATCTGGAGCATGGTTTGACTAGATTAGATTACTGTTCACAAATGATTAAGGATGCAGGGTGTTCTAGTTTTAGGTAAGGAAAGAGTGGAGGTGCGTGTCCAACCAGTCTAGCACTTACGACCTTATGATGATGATGATCAACAATGTCTATATATTATAAACCGTTATATGTAAATGTAAACACTTTAACAGAATTCAAAATATGCCAAATAAACGGGTGCATTAGGTAATTGTAAGTTCCGAGAGTGTTTATTTACTAATTTCGCGTAAGTACAAACATTTTAAACACACATACATTACCAGGCAGTAAGTATATCGTGAGAAATTTCTTTTCGTTTCTGACATCTTTGGCTTAGCAGTTGAACGTTGAACAGTTTTTTTGTCTGTCCGTTGGTTGTAACGAAACAACCGCAACATTTTCGCCTGTTTACATCGTAGTATTGTAGTGTAGGACACACAATGTTGGTTCAAAGACCTTAACGTCTTCAGGCATAGCATACATTTAAAGTGGCGCTAGCTGTATGTATATATACGTACAGTAGATCCTTCTTATTGTCGTACATACGTATAACATACGTGTAAGCTGTAAGGTACGTACCGGGGTAAGTTAAGTTCGCATATATAGTCTTCCCGCCCAAATGTCGACGGAAAATGTGATAAACGGGAATGGCTCCGGGACGTTCCAGCGAACGCCTGGCGCGCTATTTATTGGCCAAAAGATAAAGCACTCCAAGCTTTATTTCATTGTTT